TGAATGAAAACACAGTGGCTATAGAGGTGTTGGACTAGACCTTGTAGAAATGAAGAAGAGTAAGGAAGGACTAGGTAAAGACAGACAACAAAACCAATCCCCCCAAATTTTTTCCTCTTCTTTTCTTGAAAATGCCAAGAATTATGAAAGGTTCTGCAGATTGAGAAATTAGGGAGGTGGCTGGGAAAGGAGGTATTTCTCTTCAGCAGAAGTGCTGCTTCCATGTTTGCCACTTCTCTGCACAGATCTCTTGAAAGGTAACTCACCAAAAGCAGAAAGAGCTGCATAATGAGTCACTAGGTGACCTTTTTTGTACCACAAATTTGAGTTTTAAGTAGCAAGATCTTTGTTATTCCCTCAGAACATGGGATAAAAACAGTTCATTGTATCAAAAAAGGTGTAAATGTGAATGACAAGTATTTTCTTATGTTGATTTTTATGCATAGTAGCTATAGAGCTCATTGCTGTAAGACTTTTTTAAAATAAAAAATCACCAGGAGTCAAAGGAGACTGAGAGTTTTTATTGGTAACGCAAATTTCTAAGGTATATTTACTGATGTTATACGTTAAGAAACTAGGAAATACGGTTTTAAATCAAACTTGAAACATCCTCGACCTTTGTACTGTTAAAGAAAAATTATACTGGTTCAGTTTAAATACTTCTGTAAGTGAAGTAAGGTTTATTCAACAGTACCCAATTTTGGAATACAGACCAAGGCAAGCGGGTAGGAATCCTTCCCCAGGAAACTTCCCATGCTTTCTCCGTCTGCAGTTCTTGGAGCTATGGAACCATAGGCAATGGATACCCTGTGCCTTTGTCCCCAAGTAATTCCCTTTTCTTACCATTTCTACAGTTCATTTCTTGTATCTGTGTAAATTGTTGATGTCTGCAGTGTCCTTCAGTTTAACAAGGGGTTGCTTTCTGGTTGTGAATTCTTGCTGAATAATTTTCTTTTCTACTCCTCTAATTCTGCGATCTGCTGGGTTTGGAAATAAGCATTTTCACATGTCTTTGAATTCTGAGCAGCACAGAATTATTATTTATTTTTTTTTTTCTGTAGGTATGAAACATTTGTTTCCAGTGATTTAAAGGGAATGCGAAATGTACTGAATAAATGACTGGAGGGAAAACAATTAAGAATTAAGAGCTTCCCTTGTGTACAAGTTATGTCTGTATATTTTATAGAGAGCTTAATGTTAGTGCCAGGCCACTGAGTATCTTCAGACATTTTCGTGGACTCAGGATGTAATAGCATATTTTCAATGGAATCAAATGCACCCAAAGTACCTGTTAGTGTAAGAAACTGCTCTAGTATAGTCTGGTTAAATATTAATGCCAAGACTTTTGCTGTTGCACATTTTTACCCATAATTTCTTTAATTTGGTATTATGCATTTTTGCATAATTTAAATATAGACATCTGGACAATTTACTTAGCCAGCATAATGTTACGTTTTACTGAAAGTGTCTGCATAGTGTATTCTCAGGACTGTGTGCCAGCAGCAAACTGTTCAATATTTAAATAAAAGAATTGAGTTTTTGCATTGGAAAGTGTAACAGGAATTACACTGCTCTAAGAGGTTCTGTTCATTAAAAGGGCAGTGTACTAATTACATGTACTCTTTAATATGTGCTGGGCCAGTAGCAGCGTATGTTTCACTCTACTGGTAGGTTGGTCAAGGAATGATAGAAGTGTCTTTTGGGCTAATTTTTGTGGGTTTTTTGATTTAATTTCAATACCTTGTTGGCTAAAAAAGTAAACTTGTGTGTTTCCATTTTTGTGTGTGTTCGTAGGTATATAAATACATATAAAGAAATCCTGTGTATCATAAAGGTGTTCTTTATCATGGGCAGTTGAATATGGTGAAGATTGATTAATTGCAGGCTCAAATAAGTTCTTTACACAAACGTTTGTTTCTAAACTGCTGGAACATCTCTTAGCTGCGAGCTTGGAGATCCCTCTGTATCAGTTAATACAGCAAACTTAATACATCATTGCAGAAGGGATGGGATTTCACAATAGCTCTTGTATCTCTCACAGAAGTGTTAATATATCAGGATATTTCTGACTACCAAGTCAGAGCTGGATTGAGAGAGACCATCATTTAAATAAAATATAATCCCCTTATTTTAACTTTGATTCAAGAAAATGTTTTCTTACGTACTGACTCAGAATTATGTTCTGAGTTTATGCTCTTCAAATGAGCCCATTTGATCTAGTGGCTCCTAAAGAAGAAAGCCTTTTTTCTTTTTTTTTTCTTTTCCCTTCTCACACAGTGGCCATTTATATTAACTGGAGTGCTCCTTTGTGGATAATACTCAGCTTGCTTTATTTTCCTGTTTATGAATGCATTTTAAATATGGAGGAAGTATGTGTACACTTTTCTGTTCAAGGATAATTCAAGCTAAGATGTACGCAGTACATTCAGCTTTCTTAAACTATACCTTGAGGTTTTAATACATTTTCTGAATTAGTATTTTTTAATAGGGTCGGTGACCTTTCCTGCTTTTGTCATTTAACTTACAGATTCACTGCTTCTTAAAATTGTCTTGCACAAATGAAAGTGAATCAAATCATGGCTCAAACCTGATCATTTCTCTGCCTTATAATAGCTTACAGACCTTCAATTTATTTCAAAAGAGGTCTGTCCTCCTTTAGAAACATCCTTCCTATGCTGTCGAGAATGAAAGAAGGACAATTTGGCTACTTCTTTCTGGCCTTTTTCTTCTCTTTTTCTCACTGTGGGAGAACAGAGTAATAAAGGTCTATTGTTGAGGTTTCTGTGAGATTTTTTTTTTTTTTTTTTTTTTTTTTGGGATTGGGGCAAAAGGACACAGTTTGGCGTTTGGAGGCTTCCTTGCAGAAACTTTTGAATCTGGAATTAAATTTTAAGCCAAACGATTGAAGTTTAGCAGTTACTCCCGGTACAATTTATTAAAAATCCTGACTCTTAATCGGGTATCTGAAGAAAAAAGCTAATTTACAGCAAGTATTAAAGAAAAAAAAATAGTTAATCACAGCTACTGTCTGCTGCATTTATTATAATGCTTCCATCAACAGGATGCGTTCTGTGTGTGGATGGTACTCATTTACAAAATAAGGGTTTAGAAACTCAATTCATTTGTGTTCTTTAATTTTAGATCTGAATAAATAAGCAACACATCTATTTTAAATCACAATTACACATGCTTTATTTCTGAATATACAAAAAATCTGTTAAATATTAAGACTGGAAAATGAAGAATTTTTTTTTCTTTATTCTTAATTATTTGTGAGATATCTTTCTCACCCAGTGATAATTTCTTTGCCTCCTGGGATGTGTGTTTTTTCCTCAGTCAGGGATGTTGGCAAATGCTTTGTTATGCTGGGGGAAAAAATGTTCAGCTCTTAATATTTTATCAGTTCCATTGGGTTGAAGGTGCCAGGAGTTGTGTAGATGGCCACCAGTCCTCAGTCTTTTAAGTCTTCAACCTCATCATACAGGAACATTATAAATTATGTATAACAGTAGATGCTACTCAATAAATATTTAATGTGTGATAGGTATTTTTGACTGAAATTATTTTTTCACTTGAACTATGATTTAAGCTGTATTTTTTTCCTTTTATAAGGTGACACTTTTATAATATCAAGGAATAGCTGGGTGCAGTTTGAATGTCAGAGAGCTGCAGGGCAACATGAATCACAACTTCCTTCTTTCTTTCTGAATGCTGGAGAACTTTTTAATTTATCCATGACCAGAGCAGGATTTCCTGGTTTTGTTTCGGAGTGTCTTTTTTACGTTATTTCACGATCTCATCTTACCCGGGTGTATCCATCCATACAAATTTTTTAACCAGTATCAATACTGACAATGTTTTGTACTGCACAGGGAAATGAGATATTGCATCTGTTTTCAGATTTGTCAAGTCACTGTACTTGGAAAAATACATATAAAAATCTGTTTTTTCTTAGAAACAGTGTAGTGTCTTGGTTGGCTCTGGAGAAGGCATACTGATGACTTGGAAAAGGAGTAGTCATCCTGCTGTTGGAAAACCTATTTTCTGTGTTTGCTAGCACCAGGAGAAAAGCATGTGCTTTATGATATACAGAAGTGATACTTGCTGATGTTGTCTCTCCTTCCTGGGTTGTCAGTCTTCCTTGGCTCATAAGGACTTTGCTAGTTTTGGTAGAAAAATGCATTTATTTTGAAAGGTGGTATATGTATATGTTCACAGTCTCTGTTGTTGTTATCTTCGAGGCCTAGAAGCCAACGGGATTTGATTTCAACTTGAAAAACTTCATAAATACTAAAACTTATTTCAAAGCTCTAATTAATTTCTTGTTTATTGCATAGACTGTCTGATCAGTACTGTAACGCATGGTATTTTAGCCAAGGTTGAAGTGTCGCACTTGTAGTCCTGTTGAATGATGCTTCATCCTACAGGTGGCTGTATAATGTGGCCCAAAGGAATTTTGAAGAATTGAAAACATGTGCTGCAAATATTTCCTACATTCGCTTACTGTTGTCAGTGCCTCCCTTACATTGGATGATGTTTTAGCCTCTTAGGCTTACAGAGTTTTCAGATGTCTGGGGTTTTTATTGTGCAAGGTTCAATTTATTTAAAGGATTGCCAAAGATTTCTCAGTTTTCTGTTCCTTAGCCGTACTGAATTCTGAAGAGTTTTAAATTTGCCTTCCTATTATGCAAAGTGGTATGTAGCTTACTTTTAGACAATATTGCTTTGTTATACACTTAATTGATCCTTCTTATCTGGTATAATTCAGCTGTTTGTCTGATTTCTTTCAAATAACACCTTCACAGATTTCCTGGACAGCAAGCTTGGAACACTCAATGGAAATACAGCAGTTGCATTTAAAATGTAAAAAAATTTAAAAAACCACCTTTTTGTGTGTGTGTGATATTACAGAGAATAAGTTAAATTAAACTTGGTTTAGAAAGAGAAGGAAGAGTAGTATTTCTTGCATATCCTAATAGATAGACTTTTGTCCTTTACAGGAACAAACTTTGGCTCTGAGGAAAGAAGGAATAGGTGTTGTGTTAGATTCTGAACTGCCTCATCTCATTGGCATTGATGATGATCTGCTCAGTACTGGTATCATCTTATACCACTTGAAGGTAAATATGCATCTGTGTTCCCATAGTCTTTATATGCCTTGTGAGTTTTATCAGTAGACAAATCGTAGTATTAATTTGCTATCTAAATATAGTGCCCATTACACTTCTCCACCATAGTAAGAAAAGCACATTATGTTTCTCTGCTAGAGTAAGAAAAGCTCTTAAGAGGTTGCAACTGATTCAATTAAAATACCTGTTAATTTACTGTTTAGATTTATTCTAAGGGTCAACTAGTTAACCAGAGATAGGTGTTTAATATTGCTACCCCTGTATATTGTTTTTTCATTCATCTCATTGCAAAGCTTGACTTGAAATCCAAATATAGATTAGTTGCCTCAAAATTACAGAGATGGTTCTAGACAGAACAGTTGAAACTTGAATTTGCTAATAATATTGTATAATAATGACTCTGAAAGCGTTCTAAAAATGCTACCTGATTTTTTTTTTTTCATATGTGTTTAAACATATATTTTGTTCAGGTTACTCTGAGAAAGTGGAAGGATACTTCTATCTTTGTGGGGAAGAAGGGGGATTTCAACTCAAAATAATGTGTGTTTCTCTTAATTAGGAGGGCCAAACATATGTTGGTAGAGAAGATGCTGTGACGGAACAGGATATTGGTATGGAATTTGGCGGGTTTTTACATTCTTTCTTCAGTTGTTTTTCCTTCTTCTGACAGACCACTATGTGAACAAAGCTTCATAATTCTTTTCGCTTTTTCAGTTAGTCTTCTTGCATATTTTAAATTTTAGAAAATTTGAGAGCTGAATCATGTGGGGTTTGCTTCAAGGAGCATGACTTCTACAGTAGCTCATGGGTTTAAAATTTATTCATATACTTGTTACCAATTTATTTCTTACTTCTTTTTAAATAGCATTGTGTAAAAATACCATGCTTTTTCATACAGCACCTGTCACACTTACTGCACAATCATTCTCTTAACCTTTGTATGATGACAGTATTGTTCTATTGTTACACCTAAAGCAGTCTTTGGACTTCAGACTTGAATTGAAGAAAATTCTGGAAGTTGGTAAAAAGTAGGGGGGCTTCTTGCACTGACTTTCTTATTCACTTCTTAACAAAGAATTAACTGCCAAACCTGGACTGCCCTGTCATATATGTTGCTTGAAGGCAATTTCATTAAATAAACTGCATCCTTTAATTTGATTGAGAGTCAAATAACTTAATTTGGTATATTTTTGTGGGTCAAAAGGTGCCTGGGTTAAATTTCTATATAAATTTCATGAAGCTAGCAAACTTGTGTTGCTTTCAGATATTAAACAATACAGGTAGAGATAATCATACATTAGTTGAAGAAGAGACAGAAAGTAACATAACTAATTGATGAGGCCTGAATATAGTAGAGAATAAGAACCTTATTTCAGCCATCCTTGTTAGTCTACAATCACAGATGATAGCCTGTCACTTCAGATTTAAGCACGGTTGCTTTATGGTCAGGAAGCTTTCGTCATTTCCCAGAAAGCACAAAAAAACCCCTTATCTCTACAAATATGTAAATTTTACTTTTCTGTTTGCTATCAGAAGGCAAGAAGCATTTACTAATCTGGTGCTAAAACATAGGAGGAAAGAACATTACACCCAAAAAATCCAAGCAACCAAACACAATTGTCTTTCCATTACAATAAAACAATACACGGTGTTGACATTTAAGGCGTTCAGAATGTGATGAAGGAAGGAAAAAACCATTGCCCAGAATAGAGAAATGTAGTGCAATATGTCCTTAAAAAATTGATATCAGTATGCTAATCTTACTAGTTCTTAACAGACTATGTTATTTTATTTCTTTGTATTTAGTTCTTCATGGCCTTGATTTGGAAAGTGAGCATTGCATCTTTGAAAATCTCAATGGTACTGTGAATCTAATACCACTGAATGGAGCGCAGTGTTCTGTGAATGGTATTCAGATTACAGAGGCCACACACCTAAACCAAGGTATTACATAGCGCAATGTCATTTTTGATTCAGCATCTTTGTTTCTTTCTGGCAACAGCACTGAAAAAAAATAATCTGTGTGTATATAAAGGGGTTACTGTTTGATTAATTTTAATTCCATGTCTTCTCAACTACAGCCCGAAACGGTCAGCAGAGCCATGGAGTTTTTGTTCTGTCAAAGAATTGCCGTGTGGTGAAAAGAGAATTCTTTACTAATTTAAGCCACTTCATACTCTTTGAGTATGATTTGATAGTTACCCTTTGATTTCATTCCACATTTGTACATAAAGCGAACTCTATGCCAGATTACTTAGGTTGCTGTAATAGTGAGAAAAAAATACTGGCCTTCACAGGACTAAAATCATGTTAGAGGCACCCCCACCCCCCTCCCTGAGCTGCAGGCCAGTCCTGCTTAACACTCTGTTGCCAAATCCTCTTATATAGCAGGAGATTCAGCTGTAGTATCTGTTCACTGCACCTGTAGGCAAATGACAAGAAAAGGGAGGCTGACCCTTATGGAGGAAGTTTAGAGAATTATAGTTTTAATATTAAAGCTTTAATATATGGAAAGGAAAAAGCAGCCGGGACAGCTGGCAATGGAGGTGTGTTGTGTTGGCCTGGAAAGGACTGACTAACAAGTAAGCTGATGGGTGCTGCAGCAGAGGCTTGGGATGTTTTATCTTCCAGGAGCACCCAGAGTATCTTCCCATTTAGCAATGAGCTGAAAACCTCTTTAGGAGTGAGGCTGTGACACAGGTCTGCTGTTGACAAACAACCTCAATCTCATTTTACATTCCTGTAAAGAAGCTTTCAGAGTAAGTTTATTCTAAAAAAGGAAGAATGCAGTGTTGAACAAGAAGAGTCTTGCATCTTTTCTGAGCTCAAACAAGTGCTTCAAAATGCTGCTTTCAGCAAGTGAGGAGTTTTGGTGTAGAGAGGGGACATGGATTTTGTAAAGTATCTGTTTCTTCATGCAAAACGAGAGGCATATGTACTTGTTTCTGTTAAAGATACTGGGGGGAAAAAAAAAGCCCAGCCCCCTTTGCCTTATGTTTGAGTAAATCCCGTTGATAAACTGTTAGCAATAGAAATGTTGGCATTAATGGCAAATAACACTGTAAACAGTAAGAATTGAGTTGCAATGACTCATCTTTACTTTATCCTACTGCATTTCAAAGGCAGTAAAGGTTTGATAGGCCTCGGAAGAAAGTGAGAGTTTGGATGCTGTTTTCCTCTTCCAGGCCTATTTAACAACTTGATTTTTGTGTTGTGAGGAGTGGAAACATGACTTTTTCCTCCCAGATGTCTGTCTAAAGAAATTTGAACTCAAAAGGGGAAAAGATTGCTTAGAGTTACTAAATTGTGAAAAACGGCTGCATAAGCTGACCTGTAAACTGTGTAACCAGACTGAGAGAAAGGTGGCAGCTATGACATGAGGTGGGCAAAATTGATGAAATAACTAGTTTAACGACTCGTGTACAATCCATGTGTCCTATCTGTGTTAGCATTTAGTCTCACAGCATGAAGTGCCAGCCTCCTTAAATATCCGCTTTAGGTAACACTGATTAACTGCTGATATATTTAAATGTTTCCGTTCATCATTAATAACTGTTCATTTGAAAATGTGTTAACTTCTTATACTGTCATGGAGTTTAAAAAAAAAAAGAAAGCATGGTAATTAATTGCCACTTCCTTCTACAGATTACTTCCAGCATTTGTCACTTCTGGCTGATGTGGCCTTTTTATGTAAATGTAACTTACTACATATTTTTTATTCTCAAGAGCATATGTTAGGCTTCCTAGAGGTAACTGAATTAATATTCACAGTTAGAATTTGTCCTTTACCTTGAATCTATCCTCAACTTAAACCAAGTTTTCAGTTTTTTAGGCCGAACTGCCAACCCTTCTGTACTTAACGTACACTCCCACTGCCTGTTTTTTATAGCTCTTTAATAGCAAAAAAAACTTACAAACAAGTGACTATTAGAAGTTGGTAAGATCTTACTTGTAGATAGATTTGTTTGCATAGTTTCAAAATATTGCTCTGTGTAGGTCAGAGATGCTTGATGACATTCAACAGGTATTCTTTCTGTTTTTTTTCTTTTTCCTCCCCCCATCCTCTGTGGTCATTTATGTGTTGGAGTCACCCAGTTAAATTGTGGTATCAGAGCTCCACAATTATAAAGACTTTTTGCATTGTCTTTGTTGTTGTTCTTAGTACTATTGGTGTATTTGACAAACCTTTTTTCTTTGCCATTTAACGTTCAAGGAGAATAAGAATTATTGCTTACAGTAAATAAATGGAAAGCAAGCCCCATAGCAAATCCAGTTATGTTTCCATGACTACATTTACGCTGCACTTTGCATACTTGCATTCTGATGGAGAGCTGCATTGTACAACAGCAGACAATCAAACCTGGTGCTTAGGAAATATTTGACTGCACTGTTTTTCCAGAATTTTTTCCTAAAAGGCCTTTGATGTTGGTGCTTATCTAACTTCTGTCAGGTGGGGATGAAGTTTGCAGAGTTTTTCCTTAATAATATAATAATACAGAAATGATCATAGGATTCAAATCAGTACTAAAAGAAAAACCTAGAGGTTGTTCATGTGATCTGTCATCTGGGTTTGACTGTCATGTGCTTGCTGTTAAGCCTCTCTCCTGTTTTATTTTAAATTCATGATGATAGGAACACATCTATAACTGTATTCATTCTGAAATGTTCATTAATTAATTAAAGTTGCTTCCACCTAGTAAAGTGGCCAAAAATGTTTACATTTAATTATTTTTATCTTAGTTTGAAAGTAACTGAAGGAATTTTGTAGAAATGTCGCTGGCACAAAATCCCCCTCCAGGCAGTCAGCAAGAGTGGAACAGATTAATGTTTGGGACAACTGTGAGCATATGAAGCAGTGGTAGACTAAAACCAGTTTTAGCCCTTTCACTACAGCGGTCATGACCATCAGGGTTCCCCTTTTAATACGCTTACAGAAAAAGTATGCCCAGCACACTTCTCGAAGGAGAGATCATCATGTGAAATAGAAGTGGTATCAAAATGACTTTACAATCCAAACCTACATACAGATTTATGAAAGATAATTCTTCTTAAAGTTAGACTGAGGTGAACTGTTCATATGGTCCAAAATTGAGGTGGTGTGTAGATAGCAAGAAGTGATGTGCCCCTCGCTACAAGAAAGACATTGAGGTGCTGGACCGTGTCCAGAGAAGGGCAATGAAGCTGGTGAAGGATCTGGATAACAAGTCCTGTGAGGAGCAGCTGAGGGAACTGGGGTTGTTTAGTCTGGAGAAAAGGAGGCTCAGGGGAGATGTTATTGCTCTATGAAACTGCCTGAAAGGAGGCTGTAGCGAGGTGGAGGTCAGTCTCTTCTCCCAAGTAACAAGCAATAGGACAAGAGGAAATGGCCTCAAGTTGCACCAGGGGAAGTTTAGATTGGACATTAGGAAAAATTTCTTCACCGAAAGGGTTGTTAAGCACTGGAACAGGCTGCCTGGGGAAGTGGTGGAGTTACCATCCCTGGAGGTATTTAAAAGATGTGTAGATGTGGTGCTTAGGGACATGGTTTAGTGGTGGACTTGGCAGTGCTGGGTTAACAGTTGGACTTGATGATCTTAAAGGTCTGTTCCTACCTAAATGATCCTGTGACTATAGTGCTTTTTGCTGTTTGTTTGCCAAGACTGGATGACCTTATTTGGGTTGATACTCCTAATTAAGCTAATTTTAAGAGGAGCATTCCATATTAAGGTCAGCATTTCATTCTCAGATGGTAAGAATTTGTTTGTAGTGAACAGTCTTAAGTGCAGCTTTTTATACTGTGAGTGGAATGAAGTCCTTTTCCTTTTTAAAAATGCCTCATACTGACTGACACGTAAATGCATGATTCTGTGGTGGTTAACCTGGAAGACTTCTATGTTATAACAGTAGTGAGACATCACTGACAATATGCTTCTTAGTAGGAGAGTATTAATCTTGGTGCCATTGTCTTTAAAATAGGATAAGAATTGCCCAGTCTCGTTATTTGTGACCTCTACCTTAACTGATTAAATACAACAATGGATGTGCATTGAGCAATATGAATTATTTGAGGTTCTTCCCTCAGAAAATAGCTATTTGTTATGAAAGTCTAATAATCCCATTTTGAGTGACAATAAACTTCAGTGTTGTTCCACATAGAGAAGAAAAAGGTAAGTGAGAGTATGAATTATGGAGATCTGGAGCTTTCAGTGTAGTGTATAGATTCACACCTGGCTGTGATCAGTGGTGGGTGGACAAGTTTATTCCTAGTCACATTTATGGACATTGTATCTGATACCTACTGGTGGCTTCCAAAGTAGCACTGTTGAAGAGTGTATAGATCAATTTTGGGCAGCTGCTTCCACTGCTTCCTCTACCTATATTTATTTTTTTAAACGAACTGCGTGAACATGATTGACCTTTGTGTGCGTGAACATATGTGGATTTTGGGTTGTGGGTTTTTTGGTTTTGTTGGGGTTTTTTGTTTGTTTTTTTTTTTTTTTTTTAAATAGAAAGAAGAAGGAATAAACTATATACATCAGTGAATATAGCTTTGACTGTGCATGGTTATACACTTGCATTTTCATTTTGTTCTTACCTAATGGAAGTCTTTGCTTATATATTACATGTCTGAAAAATTACATGGCATTTTCAGGTACAGAATCTCATTAGTGAATGGTGTGTGTTTTTCTCATCAGGTGCTGTTATATTACTCGGAAGAACCAATATGTTTCGCTTTAACCACCCCAAAGAAGCTGCTAAGCTAAGGGAGAAAAGAAAGGTGAGATTACATTAGTGTTTTTAAATCTTTTCAAAATATTCTTGCTAATATAGATGTACCTTGATTGTTGTAGAATACTTTCTTTAATTTTTCAGATACTTCAGTTAATATTTCATCAAGTGAAACAAAGTAAGAGTTTGCAAGCACATCAGTGTTTAATACGTTTATTTTATGGTTTGTTGTTAGAGTGGACTGCTGTCTTCCTTCAGCTTGTCTATGACAGATCTTTCAAAATCCTGTGAGAACCTGTCAGCAGTTATGCTTTATAATCCAGGGTGAGTATATTCTAAAATGCAGTTATTAAAATTCCAACCATTCTTCATTTTAGCAGTTTGAATGTTCCAAATGGCAGCAATAGAAAATATTTTGTTCTCAGGTTGTGCTTGTTAAATAATGGGCTTCTGAATGAAGCCAGAACTTTTCAGAAATATTATTTGAACTAGTTGGTGCTGGAAGATAGAGTGAAGGGACACTGAGGAGCTTTCCATCCTGCTTAAAACTTGCTTTTACCGGGGATATCTCTACTCAAATGCAAGAAGTTAACTGCACCAGCAAACAGCCACAGTGATAGATCTAACACGAAGCAAGCTGTAGTACGTGGGGCCTGGGAGGCAACACTTGCCTGATAAGCAACACAGTTCAGCACAATAAGGACATGGCAAATTTTACATTTATACTTTCTTCAGGATTACAAGGTAACTATTTTTCCTGAGAAAAATGCATTGTAAATTGAAAATTAAAATTTCTTGGGTTCCTTTAATACCCATACAAGCATAAAAAGGTTGGGAAATGAATGTCTTATGTTCTCACCTATATACCTCCTAGTAGGTGGCCAAGTTAGGATGTGGAAAACAGTTTTATTATACAGTTACAATGACATAGACTGCTTATTGTAGAGAAGCTGTTTTTAATGTTTTTACCAGTATTCTTAAAGTGACTTGCAGAGAATTGATGGTGTTTTGTTCTAATTTTTTTTTCAATAGCTAGTGCCTGTGATTTGAATTGAGTGTGAGATGAGGCACTTTAACTACTTATTTGCTTTTGAAAAATTGCCGTAAATTGAATTATAGGCTTGGATAGTGCAGCTTTATTCCCAAGTTTTACTGTGGGGTTGCTCTTTATCCATTAGAATTTAGGAAGATTGGACAGATAATAATAACTTCAAGTTAAACAGTGTCTTAAATACAGTGAGTATGTATAGTAACACTGCTTCAAATGTGACTGTTACTCTTTTGCTACTGAGCTACCTACAGAGATCTCGAGATTGTGAGCTAGTTGCTGATAAATTACATCTTTTTTTTCAGACAAACGAATGAGAAGATCAAAAAAGTATATTTTTTTGTTCTTTAGCTTTTCAAATAGTTTGATGTAAATACTTCTAGTGGCTAGTATTACTTTTTTTTGTGGGCTGGGGAAAGTTCCTGACTTTTATTTGTTACCTTTCGTTATTGATCAGCCACCACAGGCTTTTCCCCGACTAATAATGTTAGTCTGCTACAATACTGTTATGAATAATTGGATTATACTGCATAGTACTGACCTTGACTTTGCAGTCAGCATAGAGCAGGAAAGATTGTTTCAGCATTGTCTCACTTTTAGTCTTTCAAATTTGCAGCAAAATATAATGGCATGGGCAAGGTCCAGTTGAAGGTGGGCTTAAGAATGATTTCACTGCCCAAGGAGTTCATACTGTCTTCAGATAAATGACAAATGGTGTCTTACAGAGAGGATTTTTCCCATAAACCTTATTTAAAAAAAAAAAGTCTGGAGAGTTGTTTGATTGTCTCTGATGGAGTAGATTGCAGCAAATGCTTCTTTTTCCCCGATACGTTTTGTGGAATGTAGCTTCTTTTTTGCATATTGGTTCTTCAAACATCTTGCCTCGCTTTCCGGGAAATCGAACTGTATGAATGGTATAAATAAATTGTCAATGTGTGCACCAATTTTTAGAAATGCTGCCATTTTTCCCATCTAACACTTCCCCTAACTTTTATTTTCCTTTCTTGAGTATGATTACAAGAGCACTCTTGCTGTTGAAATTGAGGATTAGATTAGGTGAAATACTCTTCATATTCCTGAATGCTTTCATGCCTGTGTTTTATTAAACTATGACCAGTGGATTAATTACTGATATTATCCTGCTAGTCTGCATTCACTTAACCTTTGTGAACTGGCTTGCAGGAATAGATATTTTGTCCTTAATTTGTAAACACAAGAAAGGATTATGCTTAAGGCTCACATAACAGGAGGAATGCAGGTCTGCATGACTGTCACTTGTTTGTGAGCAATAAAACCTATTTGAGGTCTTTCCATAGTTACTGTTCCGTACATATATCTTTCTAAGCAAGGAAGCTCATGAATCGTGTTATCATAGAATAGTTGATAGAGACCTTTAAAGGTCACCTAGTCCAAACCCCTGCAGTGAGCAGGGACATCTTCAGCTAGATCAGGTTGCTCAGAGCCCTGTCCAACCTGACCTTGAATGTTTCACGGGGTGGGGCTTTTACCATCTCGCTGCGCAACCTGTTCCAGTGTTTCACCACCACCACTGTAAAAAATGTCTTCCTTTTATCTAGTCTAAATCCGCCCTCTTTTAGTTTAAAACCATTCCTCCTTGTCCTATCGCAACAGGCCCTGCTAAAAAGTTTGTCCCCATCTTTCTTGTAGGCCCCCTTTAAGCATTTAGGCCTTAATAACAATTCAAAGCCAGCGGCATCATATTACTAAAGAGTTAGATGGCTTGCAGAATGTTTGAGCTCTGTGATTCCAGCTAGGAATGCTGCTTAGCAAATACAGTGCTGCAGTCGTTATTCTTCTGAGTGGTGCCTGTTTTCAACCTGGGTAAAACATTCAGTAGATGTGATCTCTGGGTAGCAAAGGGAGGGTAATTGTACCCAAGGCGTTAGGTGGGGCGAACATTTTGCTTCCTGGAAAAGTGCAGGTGGAAAAGAAAAAACTACAATAAATTTGCAATGGATTTTTTTTTTTTTTTTTTTTTTTTTTTTTTTTTTTTTTTCACGAGGAACAATGTGGGACATGGTCCTTTGGTATGACCCTTTATTACAATAGATTGTAGTATGGTGTTCTCATAACGTAATGGTATACTGCCACCAGCAGCATAGATCTAGTTTCAGTAGCTGGCCCTGCGTTTTTTTTGTGCGACTTCTGTAGCTGACTAGCGTTCTGCCTATTGTTAATTTAGCATTTTCAAAACCACAGTTTCTTCCAGTTTCAGTATTGATAAACTAAAGACTAGTAGCTAAATTTGCAGTTTCTGTAGCTTGCAGTAAACAGCTTGCAAGATCTAGCATCTTTAGCAATCAATGGCAGAAGAGCCTGTGGGGTGTTGCCTTCAGTTGTTGTGAAATAATGATGGATGTTGCTTGCTGTATCTGTATCTTTCCCGTGTGAAAATCAATGTTATCTTTAATTATATTTTCTGATGGGTGGGTGGCGGGTGGGTGGCGTGTGGGTGGCGCGGGCATGTGTGTGGCGTGTGGCGTGTGTTTGTTTGGATGTTGGTTTGCCATACATGGAGATAGTTGCATAAAATTTTGGCTTAACATGCAAAATTCTTTGTTCTGCTTGTTCCCAGTCTTTGTCTTTAATCTGGTGTCATGCAACACTGCTTCAGATAATCAGCTTTGGATAAAATGAATTTTGCGCATAGATTTATGCTGAAGATTTCATTTGTGGATGTTTTGTAAGCTACATTATATTGCAACTCTAAAACCACTCATGAGAATCCTTGGTGTTGTCATGGATTTATCATGGGGTTTTTTGTTTTGTTTTGTTTTAATTAATTTCATAAACTGGGCTACTGAACAGCATTGTAACATCTTTGTAGTCCTGCCAGTACTCAGTCTTTACTAACAGATGTAGTACCAGATCACACTTCTGTGCTGTGTAAATTAAGCTATTGTGGTACTGTGCTGGTAGAACTGACTCTTTCTCTGCAGCTTATCTACACTGCTCTTATCGCTAGGTATGCCACGTTTTCCAGGAAAATGTCGTCTATTTAATTCAACACTGATCAGATTAAGTTCCTTTGTGGTAGATCTACAAAAGAAGAAAGTGGATTCTAGTCTTTAATATCTGTAGGTTTCTTTTTAATTTCAAGCTAATATTTTTTCTTATTCACAGTAGTGCTCACATTAATAAAGGGAGTAGAGGTTATGTGAAAAAGATTTTTATTATGGATAGACTAAACTGGAAAACATCAGTCTTGCATCTGTGCTTTGTAAAACTGGCAATGATTTGTTATAGCCAGTGATTTTGTTTGGTGATGCTGAGATTTATTCTTGTTTTATACTAGCTTCTTAAAGAAACAAGGCTTCTGCAATCATGGACTATCTTGCCTCCCTAGATTCTCTCCTGTCCTGAAATAACTTTGAGCCCATAACCAGTTTGAAGCAAATATTGCAGAGGTAATGGTCTCGAAAGTGGTAAATTCCTAAATATATTGAGAAAATAGACAGCCAGCTAAGGAAGACAGGCATCATTATTACTCCTGCAGAAATAAAGGCTGCAGCATGAGCACCTTTGATAGAGACTAGAGACACTGTGAATAGCCCCATGATAGGGGAGCTTCAGTGGAGCTCAGACCTTCTTAGGCATCACTGAATCTGTGCAACAGCAAAACACCAGCCTAATTAACCCTTCACTTCGTAGGAGTATTTGCTTGCCTAAAATGCATTAAATGTGCATTTTTAAAACAGCTAGATGTAGTGTTTGGAGGCTGTTGATAGGGGGGTTGATGATCCATATTTGGTTTTGGGAGGTAACTGTTTTCACTGAAGAAGGAACCACTTCTGCATAGTTCATTCCTCTTTTCTGAACAACCTTTTGAGCACTACCAGCTTTATTTCAGTGTAAGGTAGAACTGATTGTCATGACACCACTGTTGAAGGTATTAGACACACTTCCTCGAAGAGAAAGTCACAGAGTGTTCACCACAGACCTGTTTTTATAGCAGAGTGATTGCTGCGATGGCTTATTTTCGTTGTATCAGATCTCAATCAAAAGCTAGTTACCATTTCTTATGTTTCTATAAAATATGTTTGCTAAATTATGTGTTTTATAGGACGGTCAAAATAGCGAAAGATTTTTGCTCTGAGTTTTGCACATTATGTTAGCCGATATGAAACATTTGCTTCATTATGGCTTAACCAAGTGTGGGAATACTTGTAAGTCATCTTTGCCAACTGTCTAAGCAAAGATGGTCTACATCTGACAGCGCCCAACGAACATCTGCATTTCCACAGACCAGAGTGGTATTCCTCAGGGTCTATATTGTTTTATACTGAAGTAATGATGAATATAGTGGCATTTGATAGCCAAGCTCTAGGTAAGAAGTGGTAACTAACAGCTCTGAATTCCAGAGGTAGTAGGCCATAGCCAAAGTGCTTGAGATATACCTTAAAAAAAGTAGGGGAAAACCCCAAAGCACATGGTAACTACTGAATTAAGCTTTTGCTTTCTGAAGGTCTCTTAAGGTTGCTTTTTGGGTTTTTTTGCATAACTCTGTAGACTTTGCATTGCTGCGACAGAAATTGTGATCAAATTAAAAATAGTAAGTAGTTGTTGTCTCTCCTTGTGCTGTAATGTTGAGATAGTGCCCAGTAGTGCCCATCCTAGACATAGTCTCAATGCAGGTGTGAAGGGGCTTTCGGTGAGACATTTACATGAAGGCTCCAGACATCTGGAACGGTATATAAAAATCTGTTTGCTAATCTCTTAGGCATTGTTAAACTAGTTTTTCTCCACTATTGCAGTGGTTAAAGATGCTTCTTGAGCATGTAGGAATTGAAGTTCATTTAAATTGCTTTATAAACATTAGATTATTGGTGTATTTTTTGCACATTTCCAAGGGGAATTCCTTTTTGTCATAGGTATTTGTATGACTTTAGAAAGAAATATTAAACATACCTTGTTTTTTAAAAAACTGATTATATAATTGTGGTCATGACATCTCAAACTGCAGTTCCTCACATAGTTGAAGTTAACTTGTGATGCAGTCTTCATTTTTTCAGTGTTTATGAACTGTTTCACTAACCTGCAAACTCCTTAAGCTGTAGCAATTCTGAAATAACTGGATATTATTTGGTTGACTATTTTAGCCCATATATATTTATTTTGAGAAACTTCCTTAAACACATAAATCTTTCAAAGGAAATTAAAATAAGAGAAAGGACTTCTTGCAACTGCAATAAGAGCTGATACTAAAAATTACGTAAAGTGCGCTCTCATAATTTTTCAGAACCTTATCGAACTAAATACATTAAAACCTCAAAATATTTTAGCTAAATGGCTTTGGCTTGTGTTCCATGCTTGGAATGTTTCATTTTTCAGGGATTTAAGGTTTTTCAACTCTGCTGATACATCATAGTGATGTTTGGGTGGTTTTTTTTTTTCTTTTTCTTTTTCCCCCTCCTTGGGAAGAAAAGGAAGAACTACAAGCATGCCATAGTGTAGTTCTGTACCTC